AGGAATGCCTGACTCTAAAGGTGTGAAAAACTTCTGATGTTTGTGTTTCTTACTCACACCCCCTGACACCAATACCCTCATATTACAAAGAGGGAAGTGGGAGCCAAATGACTAGCCACAGGATCAAATCCAGGTTTCCTGAGACCCAGCTAGGGTTCTTGCCTCAGATTGACCAGAGCTGCTCTCAGAGAAGGCTGGAATAGGAGAAATGGCTGGTTTCATGTTGGCCTCTTCGCCCTCCTCACACACCCATGGCCCAGGCATGCTCAGAAGCCTGATGGCTGGGTGTTTTCCCCTAGAGTGACTGCACCAAGCTGTTCAACCAAGGCATTGGAGGGGAGCAGGCCCAGGCCAAGTTTGACAGCTGCCTTTCTGACTTGGTTGCCGTGTCCAACAAATTCCGAGACCTCTTGCAGGTAAGCCCCAGGTTCAACTGCTGCCTAATCCTGGGCCTGTGTCTCGCTCTGAGAATATTGTCACTGGCTTATCATGGGCTTCGTGCATATAAGGAAACGGGAGGGGGGGAAGAGGAGACACGAGGGAGCAGAGTGCAAGCCGCTGAACTTGTGCGAGTCCCTTGAAGACTAAAGGTTTTTCAGCAGTGCAGCTGTCACGTTGACAAGCTGGCATTCTGGTCCTCTAGAATCTCCACAGTGCCAGGAGCCCTCAGAAGGGTCCTCAGAAGAAATTGAACCATGTGGGTACTGAGATCTGCTTGGCCTTAGCTGAAGGTGCTGCCTAGTACCAGGCACTCAGAAATCTCTTCTTTCTAGAGTTTAACAGACCAACCCCACAGTCTCATCTCTGGCCTGGACCTGAATCAGAATATATCTGGAAAGGAACAAGTTGTTCCTGGAGTCTTTGATTAGCATTACTTCTCTTAGACTTCAGACAGGGCCTGCAGAAAAGCCTCATGGCTGGAAGGATGCCCTGACAGACAAAGGATGGGTAGAGCAGGAGGAAGGGAAGGGATGGAGGCATGTGCCTTCTGTGTCTGATGCATCTTTGCCTTGTCCTACAGGAAGGGCTGATGGAGCTAAACAGCACAGCCATCAAGCCGCAGGTGCAGCCTTGGATCAACACCTTTCTGTCTGTTTCCCACAACATCGAGGAGGTCAGCCTGACCACGGACGGCCACAAAGCCCAGGATTACCCCTCATTCCCCGGCCCACAGCTGGAGTGCAGTGGAGCTGTCTGAACAGACTAGACCTTACATATTTCTCAGGCCCACTTCCCTTGTGCTCGAAGGCTAGGTTCGTCCCAGAAACAGGTGGTTCCTCCCAGAAACAGGTTGTTCCTGCAGTCAGAGGGCTCCGAAAGACACCTACAGGGAGTTTGCCTTGACCTGACGCATTCTCGTTTATTGAGGCTCTTTTTGCCCCACATCTTATAGGCTTGGGACCTCCCTCCCTCCCTCTCTCTCTCCCTCCCTCTCTCTCTCCCTCCCTCTCTCTCTCCCTCTCTCTCTCTCTCTCCCTCTCTCCCTCCCTCTCTGCATTGAGTCTTCATTGCTGCGCGCGCGCGCTTTCTCTAGTTGCAGTGAGCAGGGACTACTCTTTGTTGCGGTGCATGGGCTCTAGGCGTGCGGGCTTCAGTAGCTGTGGCACGCGGGTTCAGTAGTTGTGGCTCGCGGGCTCTAGAGCGCAGGCTCAGTAGTTGTGGCACACGGGCTTAGTTGCTCTGCAGCATGTGGGATCTTCCCAGACCAGGGCTCAAACCCGTGTGTCCTGCATTGGCAGGTGGATTCTTAACCACTGCACCACCAGGGAAGCCCCTCTAGCCTAATCTTTTCATTCCTGTATAACATGAGATACAAGAGGGGATAAACTGCCAGGAGCTTTGCCATATTGCGTGGGCCACTGCAGCCCGGGGCTGTTTGCTGGTCAGAAGTGTGATGCAGAAACAGCAGCAGTTTCTGCCAGCCTGATTTTAAGCTGATTTTAGGCTGGATGAGTTATAAGCTACAAGGGTGGGGGTGAATGGTCCTTCTTGGAGACGCCCCTGGTGACCCACCTTGCTTCCTGATTTTAGGAAGAATTCAATGACTATGAGGCCAATGACCCTTGGGTACAACAGTTCATCCTTAATCTGGAGCAGCAAATGGCAGAGTTCAAGGTGAGCAGGGGCTCTTGGGACCAGCCTATAGAATTACCCACCTCTGCCCCAGTCAGCAGCCTGGGGCTTCTCATCACACTCCTGCTGGGAACCCAGGAAGCTCTTCCAAGCCCCAGGCCATAGAAATACTCGCACAGGAGAAAGACTCCTGGGAGTCAGAGGGGTGAGTTGGGACTCCCGCTGATGCCTAACCTGTTTGCAGGCCAGCCTGTCTCCAGTCATCTACGACAGCCTGACCAGCCTCATGACCAGCCTTGTCGCAGTCGAGTTGGAGAAAGTGGTGCTGAAGTCCACCTTCAACCGGGTAATGTCAAGGGAGCACAGGCCCCCCCGCTCTGTTGCTTTCCCTCTAAGGAAGACAAGTCCGTCCCCTCTGTCTGCCCAGGCCCTGCATATCTAGGCTCAGTCCTGCCCTGAGGCAGTGGGGCCAGCTGAGGCACCATCTGAGGCCCAGCTGGCCTTGCAGCCCAGCACTGAGTGAATTTGGGGGCCAGTTCTGCTTGGCTAGAGGGCCAGACCTTAAACAGTGACTGGGCCCGTGTTCCCTTGCAGCTGGGCGGTCTGCAATTTGACAAGGAACTGAGGTCACTCATTGCCTACCTCACCACGGTGACCACCTGGACCATCCGAGACAAGTTTGCCCGGCTCTCCCAGATGGCCACAATCCTCAATCTGGAGCGGGTATGTAGGGCTCCCTTGGCCTAGTCAGGGAAAGGTGACTGGGAAGAGAGGAAGAGACAAAATTTGAATCCCTGCCACTCCCTCAAAACCAAGTCTCCACCAGCAACCCAGCCCTGCAGGCCACCTTCTTCTTGGGCACCCCTGCTCTGCCTCTGGTGGAGCCCAAGGCCTTCTCTCAAGATAGCCCCTCCTTGCTGACTCGTCTCTGTTCTTCCCCGTAGGTGACCGAGATCCTAGATTACTGGGGCGCCAATTCTGGCCCATTGACGTGGCGCCTCACTCCTGCTGA